ACTTTAGCCCGATCCACCGAAGGAGAGTGGTAATTAAAGGTCTGCTGAAAGGGTTGAAAGGTGCTTCTTGAATTCTGGATAATGGTTTTTGATCGGAAAAACCCGACCCCGGGAAAAGGACGCACCTAGATGCTACACTTGGGCACCACGACGCATCCAAATCGCCTTCGACGACACCGCCTGGTCAACAATGCCGGGCTGATCCTTCCGGCCATCCTGGCCCAGCACTGGGCTTACCCCAACTGGTGACCGGTATTTGGACCTGGGCCGGGCCCCAGGCCGAGCCAACACCGGCGACAAGATATGACGCTGGTGGCCTCCGCCCTGGCTGGTGGCGACGCATTGACGACGCCGATGCGCTGCGTGCGGGGCGGACCTCCTCAGTGCTGGGGTGCCTGGTCAAAGCGCCCTCCACCTTGGGCACTTTCCTGCGCAGCTTCCGGTGGGGCCACGTACGCCCAGTTGGACGAGTAAGCCCGCGAGGGGAGGGGCGGAAAGGCGATGAAAGGGAAGAAGGCTCGGGGGAAGGATAAAGTGCAGAAGGGACGGGGACCAGAGAAAGGACGAAAACATAGGGAACGGAGAGGAAAAGAAGGGAGGAAAGGAGGAGGGCACGCGGAAACAAGGGATAAACCGGACAGCGGGGGCTATAACCACGAGGCTGGCCGTGAAGGCCGAACCGGGGGGAGGGCGGGGTGAGGTTGCTGATGTCCCGTCTGCGGAGGGCCGGTCCAACACCGCCCGCCCCAGGGGCGGCCGCCCACTTCCGGCGGGAGAGTGTTTGGGACGGGGTGCGTTATGCCGGGGCCAGGGGGCAACTCACGGTGCGGCCGAAGAGGCTTCTAACACCCATTCATCGTCTCGCCTCGCCCGCAAGACGAAGGTCCGTTCCCATAACCGTGCGCCAGCACGCCCAGTTGCGCAAGCTCATCCGACGCCATACCACGAGGAGCCTGGAGGACACCATCCCCTTATTGGAATGGCGGCCCCGCCGCCGAAGTGGCCGAGGCTGAATACACACCTTGAAGGAGATGAGACAAGAATGCAACCGCGAAGAAGTGAGGCTCACGTAAGGAGGGGGTGAAGAAAACGCACAGGTCCCAAGTTGGCCTAATTCGACAGAATTACAGTATCAGCATCATCAACCCCCGACCCGCGACGGCGACACCCTGGAACTGGAGGCCCCGACCACCGCCCGCAACGACCGCGATCGCGAATGCCATCGGGACATGAAAGTACGGCGTGGGGGCCCCTCAACCATCTGCCCCTCGAGGCCGACTTGCTCTTGGTAGGAGAAAAAGGACAAGGGGGGGTAAACCTGAAAAGGGTGCGTTTTCTGAGGAGCTTTTCTTTCTAACCCGCTGATCCGTTACCCATCTAATTCTTCTTTCCCATGTCTTCACGGCTCCTTTAACGGGCGGTGAATCTTCGCGTGTTCTCCCGGCCTGTGGAGTGTTCTTAGGTTATCGTTTTTGCCGTTGCCCCTTATGCCTTAGTGCGGCCCCGGAGCTGGTCTCCCCCTTGTTTCTTTTTCGCCCTGTTCCATTGCACTAGGAACTGACCTTCCCTCCCCATGGGTTTTGATATCTTCTTCCTTGAATATATATTGGATGTCTTTTTGTTCGTCTGTGCGTGCGCCTTCCCCTTTATTTTGGCCTTTTCTTCGTTTACTCGACGGCTCCTTCGTTACTCTTTCCAGAAGCTGTGCCTTGCTCCATTAACTCTGGTGCCCCTCTGTCCTTAAGTGCAAGTCTTTTATTTCCCAGACCTCGCATCAGTTCCATCTTTTTGGTTCGCGGCTATTTGGTCTGTGTTTGTTACCTTGCGCCTGTCTTTCATTGTGCTCTCTCCGCCTTCTTCGGTTTGTGCCCACAGGATCGGGGATTAGGTTAAGTCTTTCCTTCCGTTTTCTTCATATTGCTTCCGGAGTCTCGCCGCGGTCGAGTCCTCTCTTCGCTTTGGCGTCCTCCGTTTCCTTGTGTGCTTTCTTCCACGTTTTGCCTATCCTCCACCTGTTACTGATGGTCTTTCCCGGAGGAGCCTTCGCGCTACGTCCCGTTTGTTCGGGGCTTTCCTGGGTCTTCGTGCGTCCCGCTCCTTTCGCTCCCCGCTTTCGTCATGAACGGTGCTCTCGTGATCGGTGCTTTTTCAGCTTGAGGGCCGTTTGGACGCTCAGCTTTTGTTTTTTGATGTTAGGGTTACGGTGGTTGTCATTGCTCCCCTTTAGAGATTTGATGCACTCATCCTCTCTCGACGTTCCACGTCTAGAATTGGCCGATCGCTTTTTCTTCATATTTTCTTTGGGTTTGTATGGTTTTTTACCGTTGGTTTTTTTGTATTGCCTTGCTCGATGGGTCGTGGTGCTTTTTTGAGGATGGCCTTGTTCTTTGTTTAATTTTTTTTAGTTCTTCTTCTCCTTTGTATTAATTGTTCGTTCGTCGTGCCTGTATTAGTTTTCCGCTGTTGTCGATGCGGTCTTTGGCGGGTATTTTTTGATCTCTGCGTGTATCTATGTTTTCTGTCATTCCTTTTCGATCGCCAACCGGCTTAGCGTCTTGGATATGTCCCACGTTTGTATGTGTGCGGCTTCCTTGTGGTTTAGTCGAGCTCGGTCGAGACATGTCCTTCTTGGTTTTCTGTTGAACCCCCCTTCTTCCTCCTTCCACGCCCTCCCCTACGACTTGGACCAGACATCCGGAGCGCATTATCCGCGACGGTGTGTGTAATTCTTTCCTTGAGGCGAGTCTGTTTGGCTGTTTTCTTTCCTTTCGTCCCACCTTTCTTTGTGGCCGTTTCGTTATCCCGTGAGAATCTAGTCTCGGCCTTTTTTACCCCGCTTACTCTCCGAGTTCTTTCTGCTTCGGTTTTGTGTGAATTCCGCGTCTATTTTACGATTTCGGCGATCTGTATCCGGTTTCATTGCGTGGCGCATAAGTCTGGCCCGTTGGGCAGGCTAGCGCATCGTCTGGGCGAGCAACTGGTGAGACACCAAGACACCTGCGGCGACCCGCTCTTCTCATGCCGCACGGACGGGTGCATTACCAGCTCGTGCGCGCAGACTCACTCTGCATCTTCCCCGGGTGCTGGCCGTGGCGAGCAGGCCAGCTCGGCGCCCTAGGCCCGACTGCGAGCCATCCCACTCCCAGCCTGACGGCGCTATCCGCAACCGACCCAACGCCTCCAAACTCGCGTCCGCCCGGTCCGCGAGTGCATCCTGCTGCGTCCGATCTCACTATCACGCGATTCCCAGCCTCCATAGACCGCTCTCCAGGCCCGGTGCGGCTACTGAAAACCCTCTGCCGTGTCACATCGGTCCCAATGGAGCCCAGGCTTTCTCCCTTGTAGGCTCCCTCATCCCAATTTGCCCAGCCTTCACGCCTCCCATCGGTGGATTCGGGTTTGTCCCAAGGGAGTTTTCATAACCATGATGAAATGCGGATCGCACATTGTTCGAGAATCGATTTCAGAGATTTTAGATGCAATAGGAATTCTAGACGATTCGCTCAATTCGGCCGCATATGTTCTTTCCCAACTGTACCTCTTGCAAATAGTACCGTATTCCATAGTCGCACCTCGCCATTGAGCACGGATATTATTAAATTTATTATTTATAAAGGCACTAATAGAGGGAAAAGGCCGACCAAACTCAGCTTCGACGTATTGAATTGGTTAGACGACAGGACAAGGGAAGGGAAAAACGGCATATCCTAGCGAACCTCTACTGCAAGCATGAGGAGAGAAGTAACGAGGGTCAGCAACGTTTTTGGCTGAGCTTTCACGATGTGACAGTGAAATTCTATCGGTTACGCACGGGAAGGGAAGGTTTTCAAACCACTTTAAGTGTCCAGTTGTGAAAGTACCTTTCTAGAGTAGTAGCTACTGACGAGAGTGTTCAAGCCATGCGGTATTGGGTTATAGAGGGAACTGACAGAGCAGGAAAAAACTACTATCTCATGATTTCTCCTCCAGTTCATCGAGAGATCTTGCGCCTTACGATGTCTTTTTCTTCCGGCATGAATTTCGCGAGACCGTGACGCAACGAGTTGTTCAGGCATTTGTAGATGCTAGCTCAATGTGTTTGAGAGCCCTTCTGGGTAATGCAGTATGTTGGCGAGAGAAAATCAAACAGCTGGTCCTTAGAAAGGTTAACTAAAGAAAATGCTAGCGCTCGGCATGTCCTAGAAACTGCGGAGAAAATGGGAGAGGAAGTGAGGGCACGGATTGCTATTCTTGTTCAAGCCTACAGTGATGGCAATTCAGATACCCCAAAGTCGGACGACCCTGCGGCATTCTATTTCTTGAGTACTCTTTCTTATTTGCAGAGCGACTCTCAACCACAAGACCCGAATGCTGTTGCTAAAGAGACCTGGCTGAATCCAAGCCGAACATCATGCACGGTGAAAACTCCTGCAGGAACTATTCTTGGTTGGGTGGTGAAACTCGCGGATGGGGCGTGGGCAATCTCTCCTATGGAGTTCGGTCCGACAGGAGAAAAGGTCATTGCCTGGAAGTTAAAGGATGCCAAGTATTACTTGATTAACCGCTTGACCAGCAAGGTTGCTGTAGCCGCCAATGGAGGAGAGGCAAGGGAGTTACGAGTCTTCACCAGATCCCATCGCTGGCCTTTTCCCAAGCCAGCAACTCAAGATGGGAGCAGGTACGTAGGCAGCCCGCTTCATCCTCATCCCGACAGGGTCATATATGAGCTTGAACTCTGGGATGTCAATCACGGTCTTAAGCTGGGAGACTTAGTAACAATGGATCTGCAACTAGTTGAGGATGACGCAGACAGCGGGCTTACGCCCCATCAACTAATTGGAGTGGTGACCTCGGTTGAGAACCAATCTATCAGTGTAGATAGATGATTAATTTCTAATTTTCTGGAGATACTCGGAGTCCACCGACTATTGGATAGTTGATCCTCTTGGGAAGCCAATGCTTAAAACAAAAGCGGCCCGCCGACCGGCGGGCCGCACTAATTCCCCCGTAACCGTTATCCCCTACTTAAAGTGCGGAATAACGTCCTCGCTCAAACACTTCAGCGTGTCCATGACCACCTCGCGGGGCACCGACGACGTCCAGTTGCACTCGAACATAATCTCGTCGGTGGAGAAGGCTTCCTTGAACATGTGGATCTTCTCGACCACCTCTGCCGGTGTGCCGAAGAGGTTGACTTCCTCGGTGGCTTCGGGGCCGGCGCTGCCGGCGTCGGTGCTTCCGATGCCGATGCGGCCCGCGTAATAGATGCGGGCGAGGTCCATGAGGTTTTCGACGCGGCGGTCGGCCTTTTCCTGGGTGTTGGCGACCAGGGTGGGCACCCGCACGACGGTGGAAGGCTCTCCCTCATGCCCGGCGTCCTTCCATGCCTTGCGGTAGGCGTTGACGTCCTCACGAAGGACGGCGGAGCCCCGCAGGTTGTGGGGGGAACTGCCGGCGCCGATGGCAATGCGGTATCCATGCTCGCCCATGGGTACGAAGCTCTCCTGGCTGTCCACGGGGAGCAGCATGGGCAAGGGCTTCTGTACCGGCTTGGGGATGCTCATGTAGCTCTCGTAGAAGCCCGGATAGTTAAAGTACTTGCCCTCGAAACCGGAGAACCTGTCCTCTTCCCACAGCTGCTTCAAAAGCTCCAGGTACTCGAAGAAGTAGTCTCGGCGCTCGTCGGAGCCGCGAGTGCGGGCCCCCGCGCCGTAGATGAAGCGTCCTTCGCTGATCTGGTCAACGATGGCAACCTGTTCCGCGACCTGGAAGGGGTCCTCGGGCTGCAGGTTGTCGAAGGCGTACCTTTCGTGGGGCAACGCCCGCGGGGATGGGGTCTCACCGGGCAACCGCAGGGTCGGGCGGTGGATGGAAGTGCCGATCTTGATGTTCTTGGTGTGGTTGGCGATTATGCCAGACAACATAAGGGACTGGGGGTCCATGCTGCCCTGGGTGGAGAAGTGACCACCGCCGAACCAGACATAGTCCCAACCGGCGTTCTCGATGTGGTCGATCTCCTTGAAGTTCTGCTTGTAAGCCTCGGCTTCGAGGAGCTTGCCGCCCTGATATTCCGGGTCCCAGGGAACCTTGTCGCCCTCGTAAACGGCGTTCCAGGTGGTAAACAATCCAAAGTCCATACTTGCTCCTCCTTAACTGGTTTGGCGTTGCGATTCTGCTTTGGTACCGATAATAGACCTGCCGAATACGAACGTCAACGACCTGACGGGATAAAGTAATAGGATGGCAACGAAATACGTAGCTTCGTTCCATCAAGGGGATGAACTTCGAACATCGGCATATTCCTTCCAATTCTTTCGTTGGTTAACTGGCCCCGAGTCCGATGACAACCGTCACTGGACACCCCCTGTTACCACCTCCTACCATGGTACTTGGGTACTTGTACTCAAGCCTGTCAAACCCATTCTCCGGCTACCCGCTTGCCAGGGGTCAATGGGCGGAAATGAGCGGAAATGGCAGGAAAAATGCTTTTTTGCGCCCGCTCTTGCTTCGACCAATTCCGTTCTGCCCATGCCCAGCCCGTAAAATGCCAATGCCCTCCCCCCTGCTGACCATCAATGTTGACAACCTTATTTATACTTACGATAATTAGCGTGATTTCGAAAGGGAAATCCGTATCCGGCTAGCCTTATTCCAGGCCAGTGAACTGGTCACACTGATTCTACCTGATGCAAGGAGGAATATGGCTGAAGACATTGCTTTGATGGCTCACCTGATGCGCCGAGCCGGTTTCGGCGCCACCCGCGAGGAACTTGAAGAACGGGCCGAGCGGGGCTACGATGCTACCGTCGAGGAACTGCTTAACACCGATTCGGTGACCGGCGCCGACCGTTACGAGTTCCTGCGCTACCACCCCTCATTCTGGAAACCCATTACCTCGCCGGGCATGGGCGCTTCCGCCTGGCTCCATTCCATGCTTAACACCGAGCGGGTCCTGGAAGAAAAGATGGTCCTTTTCTGGCACCAGGTCTTCGCCACCGGCGGCTCCAAGCTGGATCACTGGCACGAGATGGTGACCCAGGTCGATATGTTCCGCGAATACGGCATGGGCAACTACCGCGACCTGCTGGTGGAACTGGCCAAGAGTCCGGCCATGATTTTCTGGTTGGACAACTGCGACAACCACGCCTACGCCGTCAACGAAAACTGGGGCCGCGAATTGCTGGAGCTCTTCAGCATGGGCGTCGGCAACTACACCGAGGACGATGTTCGGGAGTGCTCCCGCGCCTTTACCGGCTGGACCATCGCAGCTTCCATTCCGCGTAACGCCCATGGCCGCTACGACTGGGAGTTCGAATACCAGCCGGAAGATCATGACGACGACGAAAAGACCTTCCTTGGACACACCGGCAACTTCACCGGCGAAGACATCATCGACATAGTATGCGCGCAGCCGGCCACGGCCCGGTTTATCGCCCGCCACCTCTATAACTTTTTTGTGGCGGAGGAGCCGCAGGTTCCCGCCTGGTCGGTCACGCCTCCCAACGATCCCGCGGCCATCGACCTGCTGGCCCGCACCTTCACGGAGTCGGGCTACAACATGCGTGAAGTTCTGCGGGTCTTGTTCACCTCCGAATTCTTCAAGGAAGCCCGCTATGCCAAAATCAAGAGTCCTGCCGAAGTATTGATTGGCACCCTGCGCATGGTCGGCGGCTACAAGTTCCCCGCGCCAGGCATCGGCAACCTTTCGAAGGAAGCCGGTTACATGGGGCAGGAACTGCTGAATCCTCCCAGTGTGGAGGGCTGGCACACCGGCGCCGAGTGGATTAACAGCGGCACCCTGATGAAGCGCATAAACTTCTCCGCCGACATGGTGGGAGATACCACCAGGCCCGGTATCCAGGCCATCGTCAACCGCCTGCGGGCTCGCGGCGACCTGGGGCCCGAAGAATTTGTGGATGCCTGCCTGGACCTGATGGGGCCCCTGCAGGTGCAGGAAGACAACCGGCAGCAACTGGTAAACCACGCCCGGGAAACCGGAACCCTGACTTGGGCCGATGATGTCCTGGCCAGGGACCGGGTAGGCGAAATGCTTCAGTTGGTTGTATCTTTGCGCGAATATCAGTATTCTTAAGGTCACTACAGTTTGGAGAATTGTCGCCAACCGACCACGAAATTTGAGGCGGTTAGCCCAGCAAGGAGACAGGATATGACCAGCAACAAGAAAGACCCGGTCTTGGTAGTACTGCAGCTTTCCGGCGGGAATGACTACATGAATACCGTCATCCCGTACACCGACCCCCTGTATCGGGACAATCGTCCCGCCGTCGGCGTTGCCGACCAGGACATCATTCGCATCAACGACGAGTTGGGCTTCCATCCCAGCCTGCGGGTGATGGAAGAGATGTTCAACCAGGGTAACCTGGCCGTTATTCACGGCGTGGGCTACCCCGATTCACCGCGCTCCCACTTCCGCTCCATGGACATCTGGCACACTTGTGAGCCGGACAAGCTGGGCACCGAGGGCTGGCTGGGTTTGGCCGCCCGTGATATCGACCCCCGCAAGGAAAACGTGGTAACCACCGTCAGCATGGGCCCCAGCATGTTCCGGGCCGTGTCGGTGGCCGGTGTTCCCGTGGCCGCCGTTGACAGCCTGGACAGCTATGGCTTGCTTACCGGCATCTCCAGCGAGGAACAACGGCTCAAGATTCTGGACCGGTTCACCCAGATGTACACCCCTGCCATCGGCACCGGCGCCGTCATGGAGTACCTGGGCGAGACTGGCCTGGAAGCCATGCAGGGCGCGGACATCCTTAAGGTTGCTCCGGGCATGTACTCCTCAACCGTTGAGTACGCCGACAACCCCATCGCCCGGAAACTCAAAGACATTGCCCGCATCCACCTGGCCGACCTGGGCACCCGGATCTTCTACTGCGACTACGGCAGCTTCGACTCCCACGCTAACCAGCCTGGCATGCACGCCGGTTTGTGGAATGATGTCTGCGCCGGGGTCAGCGACTTCTTTGCCGACCTGAAGGAACACAATGCCGACGACAACGTGGTAATGATCATGTTCTCCGAGTTCGGCCGCCGGGTACGTGACAACGGCTCCGGCACCGACCACGGCGCTGCTGGTGCGGCCTTTGCCCTGGGCACGCCCGTGAGGGGCGGCTTCTACGGCGAGTATCCCTCCCGCAAGGCCGAGGACCTGCAACAGGGCGACCTGGTTCCCAACCTGGACTTCCGTGGCTTCTACACCACCGTCCTGGAAGACTGGATGGGCCTGGACGCCAAGCCCATAGTCAAGGGCGAGTTTGAGAAGCCCAAGTTCCTCTAGGATCTTTATTACTTAGTAAACAGGGGCCAGCGTCTTTAACGGGACGGCTGGCCCTTTGAATTAGGACAGCCCGTCCTGGCTGCAAACCCTTCAACCGGCTATGCTGAGACTGTCGAAGGGTTCCGTATCGTGGACGTGCAATCCAGGTAAAATCATTAAGAAGGGAGGCGAACTAGCTATGGTGACGCGGGTAGTAGCCGGCAGGGCCTACGATTTCAGCCATGCCATGGGCCGTGGCGGAGTTGGCGCGGGTTTCAACTCGGGCAACGCCTTGGCTTTTAGCTCCGATAATCTGATTTATGTTCTCAGTCGTGGTGGCGAGGCCATAACCGCCGTCCCCTGGCACCGCACCGCTCGGGGGGCAAGGGTCACCAAGTTTGATGTGGGCCTCCAGGCCGGGGATGAGGAATTCATCAAGGAGTTCGGCGAAACCGGCAACGGTCGGGGCCAGATGATCTGGCCTGCTGGTCTCGCGCTGGATTCCAGGGACAACGTCTACGTCAGCGATGAGTGGATGAACCGGATTAACGTCTATGACACCGAGGGCAACCTCCTGCGGGAATGGGGAACCATCGGTAACGGCGACGGCGAGTTTGACGGCCCCTCCGGGCTGGTGATGGACCCCGACGACAACCTGTATGTAGTGGACAGTCGCAACCACCGGGTGCAGAAGTTCACCGTTGATGGCCAGTTCCTCTCTAAGTTTGGAAGCGCCGGCGACGGCGAGGGACAGTTCAACCTGCCCTGGGGCATCACCCTGGACCGGGACGGCTACCTGTACGTGGTGGACACCAACAACCACCGAGTCCAGAAACTGACCGCCGAAGGCCAATTCGTGGCCCAGTTCGGCAGTTACGGCACCGGTCGTGGCGAACTGGACCATCCCTCGGACGTGACGGTAGATCCCGACGGCGATGTTTACGTCTGCGACTGGGGAAACGATCGAGTGCAGGCCTTCGATGCGTCGGGCAAGTTCTTCACCAGCTTTGTTGGCGATGCCCAACAGCTTACAAAGTGGTCGGAAATGATCGTCCGCACCAATCCGGAGGCTATTAAGCGCCGTCGCGAGGTTAAGGACTTCCGCGCCGAGTGGCTATTGCGCATGCCTCGCGCCGTGGCTTTCGACGCCCCCAACAACCGACTGCTGATCCTGGACACCCAGCGCAGCCGCATCCAGATCTACAACAAAGTGAACAACTACGTAACCCCGGCCAAGAACCTGTAGGCCTGAATCCCAAGGGGGATCGACCATTCCGCCAACATGGGCGAACAACTGCAGGGGCAGGTTTCAGACCTGCCCCTGTTCTTTGGTCGGCTAAGCGTCCCGTCCCAGTTTCAAACCAATGTCGTTCTGAGAAGCGGAGTGACGAAGAACCCCAACCGCTGCCATTTAGACCATCCTTACCGCAGTAGAGACCTTGCATGGCCCACGGTGGGATTCCTTTGAATCAAAATCACAGGGAGGGTCGGATTATGCCAGATGAGTTCATTAGCAGAATAACAAGGTAGGGGCGGGTGTCAAACCCGCCCCCACTGTTTCAGTAACCGTCGTCGGTGCTTGGATTACCTAATCATCCGTCGCCGCAGGCACTTCGCTCCTCCTGGCGATCAGGGAATCGTAGCGCTGACTGGCCTGTTCCTTCACAGTGTCCAGATCTTCTGCCAGCATGTAACCTTCAGCTACCAGCTTCTCCCCTTCCTGCCGTACCTTATCCAGGAATTCCTCGCGGGAGGCGTACCTCTCCTCAATGGAGAGGCGCGGGTCTCCGCTGGCTTCCCTATCGGCCCGGGTAGCAGGGAAAGGAATAGTTGAGCCGATCTGCGGCATGATCTGGCCGGGCGCGCCGCTGTCCGGATGTCGCAAGTTCCAACCGGCGTAGGTGGCCAAGGGCACAGTCACGTCGGGCAACCGGATGCCGGTTACCTCGTTCCCGTCGCTGTCCACGGCTGGCACGAAGTTGGGGTAGGGCTCGCCCGATCCAGGGGCCGGTTGCACCAGCCCGTTATGCGCCTCCGGTCCGAAGTCGGCACGGTAAACGTGCTTCAGCACCTCGGGGAAGTTGACCTCCGGGATTGCGCGGAAGGTGGCCTCCAAATTGGGCGCCGGTACTGCTGTGCCATCGTCCAGTCGAGGGTGGCGGCTGGCCGGTGGTTCACTGCCTTCCGTTACCCATCGTTCCACGTTCTTCAACGCTGCCCGCAACAGGGGCCGGTAGTCCACCGAGTTGTCCAACTGCTGCCCCCTGGGACCCTCGCGCACGTCCACGTCAAACAGGTTGAGCTGTCCCGGTCCGTGCTGGGTGCCGGCGTAGTGGTATATCCGCACATTGTCGGACGGGCCCAAGTCCGCTGTACCGTCCATGGTGGTATGAATCAGGGAGGCATGCCCGCTCCAGTACTCCGCTGAAGTATTGGTCAACAGCACTCTGGGCGTCTTGCCTGCCGCGTCCAGGCGGGCCAGCAGGCCGTCGGTGCGGCCCGAATCGGGGTCGGTCTGCAGCGTGTCATGGAAGGGAAAACTGCGTCCGGCGCTTGGGCGGGCTGGCGTGGAAGGCTGTCCGAAACGCTGGTTCATCTCGCCGCGACCGCTGCCGGCCACCAGGGGTATCAGCCCTTCAAACACGGGCCGGTCTTCCTCGTCCTGGGTCAGGCCGCAGTAAAGGAACCGGCGCAGGAAGCCGCCACTCTGGGAACGTCCAAAGGTGAAGGCGTACTCAATGTCGCCGGCGCAGGGGTTGCCAGCTTCCGCCGAACCGTAGCGCAGGAAGGAAACCAGGTCGCGGGGGCCCAGCATACCCATGCCGACCACGTCGGCCCCGGTAGTGGTGTAGGTGATCTCGTACACCTTGCCCGGCTGGAAGCCAGCGGCGAGGTAAACGGAACGGCTGTCGGCCACTACTTCCTCCCCGTCGAGGCGGGCGAAGGACCACTGGTCGCGGGGTATTGCCTCGGCCGGACCGTCCTGATGTTCCCGGACTACCAGCGTGGCATCGGGGTCGTCGATGTCGGAGGTGGGATGCGGCCTGTGCAGCCGGTCGGCCAGCGTGTGTGTGCAGGTAACTGCGTGGGGCTGAAAGCCAATGGCAATCCTGCCGGAAATGGAGGAACCGTCGGGGTTCAACGCTTCTGGCACGTAGGCCTTGACCAGTGTCGGGGTGCCGGGCGGCACATCGTATTGCCAGCCGCACCAGACCACCGTGTAGCCGTGGCGCATCAGGAAGCCGTTGCCCGCTCCCAGCCGCTGACCGGCGCTGTTCAGGTTGGTCAATATAGTCGGGTTGCCCCGGTTCACCACGTCGAAGACGATGCGGTGGCTGCCTCGCGATGGGTCTTCGGGCTGCAGGATGGTGAAGTCGGCAGAGCAATGGACCCGGCCCGCTGCATCTCGAGGGGCCAGATTGATATCGGTGATAACCTCGTTGGCCGGGTTATCGGGGTCTACGGCCAAGTGGACCAGGCCGTCAATCTGCCGATAGGGCCCTGTTTCGCCGAAAATGGACCCACCGGCAAAAGGTCGAATGGAGTGGACTTCCAGTCTGGTTACTGCCATGAGTCTGACCTCCGGAACCGAATAATAAAACCGGCGCAGTTCAGGCTGAGCCGGTGTCTTGGAATCCTGTTGGGCTAGTCCTCCAGCTGGATGGTGACCGTCACCCGGGGAGTGTCACTGACCACGGCGGTGGTGTGGCCGTCACCGGTGGTGTCTTCGGCCAGGTTGACGTCGCCGGGGCCCAGACGGAACTTGGTGCCGTCCTTCAGACCAATCTCGCCCTCGCCCGCCAGGGTGATAACGTATTGACGACGGGGAGCCACGTGCCAGTCACTGAATCGCCCTACTTCGGCGGCCCGGAAGACCACGCCCTTGGCGTCGTGCAGGTTGGTGTAGTCGGGGCGGGACTCCCAGTCCAGTTCCTCGATGTGGGTATGGCCGTCATCGCCGGTGTACAGTCGGATAAACTTCATTGGTTAGCCTCCGTTAATTTTGCTTGGGTTAGCGCTCCAATCCGTCAGGGATTCATAGGTTATTGAGCTCGGGCCAGGTATGTATCGGTGGCCCGCTGCAGGCCGGCGCGGCGGTTACCTTGCAGGGAATCGCGCATGGCCGAGAAGCGACTGTTGGACTCCGTGATGCCGTTCAGGCTGCCCTGGAAGCGCGGCATTACGTAGCGGGCGAACAGTTCATAACTGTGGAACAGGTTCTCCCGTGTGGTCCAGTCCTCGGCCCGTACCAGCAGGGTGCCGAATCCGCCGCTGGACTCCTGGAACCGTTCTATAGCGGCTATGGCATCGTCGGGGGTGCCGACAATCCACTGGCCGGCGTCTACCATGTGGTCAACTATTTCGTTCTGCGGTACGTCGGGAATGGGGTGGCCGTTGGTGCCGCCGGTGTACTCGGTTACGACGCGACCGGCGCCGACGCGCACCTGCTCGAAGGCCTCTTCACGGGTCTCCGCGAGGTGTACGGGAACCGAAAGGCGCCACTCGTCGCGGTGGACCTCTTTGCCGTGTTCTCTGGCCGACTCTTCGGCAATGTCCCACTGGTCCTGCAGAGTGGTCTGGCGGATCATGGAACGGGGCACGCTGAGGGAGAGGACACCGGCGCCGTGCTTGCCGGCCACGAAAACGCCGGCCGGTGACTGCACCGAGGCGACCGCAACGGGCAGGCAGGGTTTCTGAAAGGGGCGAAGTTGCAAGGAGGCTTCGCGCAGCTTGAACCAGTCGGTCTCGCAGGTAACCGGTTCTTCGCCTTTGAAGAGCTGCATGATGACTCCCAGGGACTCATCCATCATTTCCCGCTGGCGTTCCGGGTCGATGCAGAACATGTAGGCGTCAGAAGCTAAGGAGCCGGGGCCGACGCCCAGCATCACCCGACCGCGGGTCAGGTGGTCCAGCAACACCATGCGGTTGGCCACCATGTAAGGGTTGTGGTACGGCAGGCTGACTACGCCGGTGCCCAGCCGAAGCCGGTTGGTGCGTCCCGCCGCTGTGGCGATGAACAACTCCGGTGAGGCGATGGTTTCCCAGCCGCCGCTGTGGTGCTCACCAATCCAGGCTTCGTCGTAGCCCAGGGCGTCCAGCCACTCCAGTAGTTCCAGGTCCCGCTCCAGGGCCAGCGTCGGATTTTCGCCGACCCGGTGGAAGGGGGCAAGGAAAATGCCGAAGCACATGTTGTCGGTAAGGGCCGTCATAGCTATCTCCTTCCGATCCAATTTGAGGCCATTCTAGCACCAAACTATTCACGAATAAACACGAATAAACACGAATGAGACACTATATATTGTGGTTGCTTTCCGTAAGCCCCCCTGGCGTTTAGAATCTTCATGTAAACCGAACCTGCAGGATTAGTGTTAAGCCTTTAATGTGCTATCCGGCTTCGATAGATGGAGAGGAAGGTAAATACGGTGTATTTTCCCCAGACATCCCTGGGGTAGCAGCTATGGGCGCCACAATAGACGAGGCCCTGATAAACGCCGAAGAAGCCCTCCGGGACTATGCTATCGAGGCTGAACGATATGGAGATGAATTGGCAAATGCCAGTCCCTTTAGGTCAATAGACACTATTCCAGGGAACCAGATGGTTTCTATACCTTTGATACGTCCTTCAGGTAAGAGTGTTCAGGCTGGTCTAACACTGGACGAAGAAGTTGCGGAATATACCGATTCCCGGGCCAGGCGAAAAGTCATGACGCGCAAAGCCTGAGTAACGTGGACTGTTCGCCGAATTACAGCTATGAGTGGTTGAATCTTTGCGAATCATTTCTCTTCACCCAATGCGATACCTCACAATCGTGCTCCAAAACGCCCAAGGGTAGAAAAACCCAAAACGATTTATGGATTCTATTCGTTAAACTTGATTGACAGCAACGATAATGCTATTATCTGCACAGCTATGTTTGCCTCAAACTTAGTTGAGGAGGAGTACGGATGGCGAATCACGACATTGCCTTAATGGCTCACCTAATGCGGCGAGCCGGGTTTGGCGCCCAGTACGACGAAATTGTCGAGCGCGCCGCCAAGGGTTATGAGGATACCGTGGAGGAACTTCTCAACCCGACGGATAGTTCCCATGGTATGGACCTCGACTTGGCCGAACGCAGTTTTATCGAATGGAACCACTTCATCCGCTGCGTACCCGAGTACATCGCCTGGCGGATGATCAACTCCAGGAACCAGTTGGAAGAAAAGATGGTCTTGTTCTGGCACGGCATTCTCTGCACCGCCGACAGCAAGACCCAGAGCTACGTTACATCCCAGTCGGAACTGGAAATGCTCCGACGTAACGGAATGGGCAACTTCAGGGACCTGCTGATTGAAATATCCAGGGACCCGGCGATGATTTTCTTCCTGGACAACTGCCTTAGCCACAAGGAGGCCATCAACGAAAACTATGGCCGCGAACTGCTGGAGTTGTTCTCCATGGGCGTGGGCATGGAAGGCCAGTTCAATTACACCGAGGATGACGTGAAGGAATGTGCCCGGGCCTTTACCGGCTGGACCATTGCCAACAACATCCCTGGCCAGCCCTATGGCCGTTATGCCTCCCAGTTCGTCTTTAACCCGGAGGACCACGACGAAGGCGATAAGACCTTCCTGGGTCGGACCGGTAACTTCGACGGCGAGGATGTCGTTGACATTATCGCCGAGCAGCCGGCCACCGCGCGGTTTATCTCCCGGCACATGTATAACTTCTTTGTGGCCGATGAGGCCCAGGTGCCCTCCTGGATGGACACTCCGCCGCGGGACATGGAAACGGTCAAGATGCTGGAGGACGAGTACTTCCGCTCCGGCTACGATATCCGCTCCATGCTGCGGGTTTTGTTCAACTCTGACGCTTTCAAGAACGCCCGCTTCCAACGCATCAAGGGGCCGATAGAAGCAATTGTCGGGACCTTGCGCCTGGTGGGTGACTGGAACACTCCCAAGCCGGGCTTCGAATCAATATTTGATGAAATGAAACACATGGGCCAGGAAATCCTGAACCCGCCCAGCGTAGAAGGCTGGCACACCGGGAAAGAGTGGATTGACGGCGGTACCCTGGTTCGCCGCATCAACTTTATCGCCGACTACGTGGGCGACGTGAACCAGCCCGGCATCCAGGATATAGTTCAGAAGCTGAAGGCCGAGGGATCCACGATGTCTCCGGTCAACTTGGTAGACGGCTGCCTCAGGCTGCTGGGCTGCTACGAGCTCGAGACGGAAACCCGCCAGATGCTCATTAGTCATGCGGAAAAGACCGGCGACCTTCCTACCAGCAACAAGGAATTTCCCGGTCAGGTAACCCAGATGCTTCAGATGATTGTGGCAACCAAGGAATATCTGTACGCCTAACCGGAGCTTTCGGTTGGCTGCTGTCCATTGGAAAACGGACCCCAAATCGAATCTCGTAAGGAGAACAAGATGACGTCCAACAAGAAAGATCCGGTCCTGGTAATACTGCAGATGACCGGCGCCTATGACGCGCTGAATACCTTTATCCCCTACAGCGATCCTCACTATCCGGACTACCGGCCGGTGCTGCAGATCTCCCCTGAAGACGTGCTGGCAGTGGACGACAAGGTGGGGTTCCACCCGGCAATGGCTCCCCTGAAGGAGCTTTACGACGAGGGCAAAGTTGCCGTAATGCAGGGCATCGGCTATCCCAACCCCATCAGGTCTCACTTCCGCTCCCTGGACATTTGGCACACCGCCGAGCCTGACAAGATGGTCACCGACGGCTGGCTGGGCAAGGCCATCCGGGATCTGGACCCCGACAAGGAAAACATTCTGACCGCCGTTAACTTCGGCCGTGGTCTGCCTCGGGCCCTGGCGGCTCCGGGCGTTTCGGTTGCATCGGTGGGAGACCTGGCCAGCTATGGCGTACTGACCGGCATCGACGGTGAGGAAGAGCGCATGGATGCTCTGGACATCTTCGGCCGCATGTACTCCCCGATGATCGGTTCCGGCCCGGTCAACGACTACCTGTCCCAGACCGGCCTTGACGCCCTTAGGGGCGCCGACATCCTGAAGACCGCTCCGGACATATACTCCTCCAGCGTCGAGTACGGCGGAAGCCCCTTCGCCCAGTGGCTGAAGAACATCGCCCAGGTGCATTTGGCTGACTTCGGCACCCGGGTGCTTTACACGGGCGTTAACCCCGGCACTTTCGACACCCACGCCAACCAGAACATCACCTTCCCCAGGCTGTGGGGCGATGTTACTACCGCTATTGGCGACTTCTACCAGGACCTTAAGGAACACAACTCGAACCAGGAAGTGGTAATGCTGCTCTTCACCGAGTTCGGCCGCCGTGTTAAGGAAAACGGTTCCGGCACCGACCACGGGTCAGGCAGTGTGGCCTTTGTCATCGGCGATGCGGTCAAGGGGGGCCTGTACGGCGAGTACCCGTCCCTGGAGCCCGACAAGCTGGACGAGGGTGACCTGAAGTGGAACAGCGACTTCCGCAGCACCTACGCCACCCTGATTGAGGATTGGATGGGTCTCGATGCCCAACCCATCCTGGGCGGCAACTTCGAGAAGATCGACTTCATGAAGTAGCCAACAGGACTTGACGGCAAAGGCTGGCGGCACAAGGCTGCCAGCCTTTATTTTTAAATGAGACAATTAGCGAGGAAGAATGGTTACTACTGAGATTACCCCAATAACCTTCCAGTACAGCCATACCATCGGGCGGCAGGAAAACCGAAGCGGTTCAGGATTCTTCTATCCAGTTGATATCGTTCGCAGCGGCAAGGACCAGTTGTCCGTGATCAGCCGCGGTTCCGAGACGCCGGCCTTTTTCCCCTGCAAGCGGGTAACGGTGTTCACGGTGAACGAAGAACTGGTGCAGGAATTCGGCCAGAAGATTCCCCCCGAAGAGGCTGATGAGAACGCCCCCGCCGGTACGTTCATGTGGCCGACGGCCCTGACTGTGGACAGCGAGGGCAGTACCTACGTGGCCGACGAGTGGCTGCAGCGCATCACCGCCTTTGACAAGGATGGTGAGTGCAAGGGCACATGGGGCAGGGTTGGCAGCGGGGACGGCGAGTTCAACAAGCCTTCTGGCCTGGCATGCGGCGCGAACGACAACATATACGTGGTTGACAGCTATAACCACCGGGTGCAGATTTTCGCCAAGGACGGCAAGTACCTTTCTCAGTTCGGCACCGAGGGCAATGGCGACGGCCAATTCAGCTACCCTTGGGGCATTGAGATCGACTACGACGGCAACGTCTGGGTGGCCGACTGGCGGAACGACCGCATCCAGAAGTTCACTCCCGAAGGCCAGTTCCTGATGAAGTTTGGTTCCACGGGCGATGCTGACGGCCAGCTTAACCGGCCCACCAAGGTGGCGGTGGACAAGGAAGGCATCATTTACGTGGCGGACTTCAAGAACGACCGCCTCCAGGTCTTCGATGCCGAGGGCAACTTCATCACGAAGCTCCTGGGCGAGGCCACCCTGTCCAAGTGGGGACGGGAGCGGGTGGAACTGGACCCCACCATCGTGCGGGCACGGGAAATGGCCCATAACCTGCACGAGCGGGAGAAGCTGTTCCACGGGCCCATTTCAGTAGAGGTGGACGACGAGGGCCGCATTTATGTTTTGGAGTGCCCCCGACAGCGTGTGCAGATCTACCGGAAGCAAAAGGCTATCTTCGCCGGCGGGGTGCTCTAAGCACCTTACCGACCGACATCAACGATCTGCCAAAGAGCGGGGCCCCGGAACTTTCCGGGGCCCTTAACTGTTTCTGCTAGCCGGGATCGCCCCATGCTCACTTTGCCTGTCGTTGTTGTCCCTGTGCCGCAGTCACGGGGTACAACTCTACCTTCCTCCCTATTCTTCGGGCACAAATAGAGAGAACGGAGGCGGTTTGAACACAACCGCCTCCGTTCCTTTAAAGAGTTTTGTGGCGGCCGGACCTTGAATCAGGCCTGGCCCCCATTGCTGCACTACTGCTTGGAGTTACTGTGAGTTGGCCAAGACTTCCTCCACGGCTCCTCCCATCGGGTTTTCACCGCCGAAGACTGTGCCGGTGGCGCCATTCTCGAACCTGGCCAGTATCAGGTCATAGACGGGCTGCGGGAAAGGGATGTATCCCACCTCGGCCACCAGTGCCTGACCTTCGTTGCTCAGGAAGTAGCGAATGAACTCGGCGATGTGCGGGGTGCTCGCCGCGTCCTTACGGACGTAGATGAACAGCGGGCGGGACAGGGGGGAGTAGGTACCCTGGTTGATGTTGGCGTCGGTGGGAGGTACGCAACCGCTGCCGCCGTCGACCTCAACGGCCTTCAGCTTGTCAGCGTTCTCGGAGTAGTAGGCATAGCCTAGGTAGCCGACCCCGTTTTTGCCGCCAGACACACCCTGGATAATCAGGTTGTCGTCTTCGCTGGCGGTGAAGTCGCCCCGGGAAGCGCCGGATTCGCCGCTGACGGTGTCGGTGAAGTAATCGAAGGTTCCGGAGTCCACACCGGGGGCGTACATTTCCATTTCGTCATCGGGCCAGCCGTCGCGGACCTGGCTCCACTTCATGACCGTGTCCTCGGCATCGGGGCCCCACATCCGGTCCAGTTCCTTGATGGTTATGCACTGGGCCCAGGTGTTGTCCTTGTTGGCGATAACGGTGACACCGTCAATAGCCACGGGAATCTCAATGTACTCAACGCCAGCGTCCGAGCAGAGCTGTACTTCGCTGGCCTTGATTGGCCGGGAAGCGTCAGAGACCACGATCTCGCCGTTGCAGAACTTCTTGAATCCGCCTCCGGTGCCGGATACGCCGACGGTGACGCGGACCTGGCCGTTCGTCAGCTTGCCGAACTCTTCGGCCACGGCCTCGGTGATGGGGAATACAGTACTGGAACCGTCGACGTCAATGTCGCCGGACAGGCTGGCGTAGTCACCAGTTTCCATGGCCGCGGGCATGGATTGACTGCTGCTGGACTCGCCGCTGGAACTGCTGGAAGAGACGGGATCACTGGGTTGACCGGAGCTGCCACAGGCAATAAGGACCATAGAGACCGCAATAGCCCCGAGTACTAAGGGTATGGTCCAACCCTTTAAGCTGAAATACCGGGTTTTCTTGGAAACCATTGTTCCTCCTGCTAAGTCTGGTCGCGCCTTTTCATGGTTCGTATCGTTACCGGGTTTGGTAGTCACCTGAATCGCCGCTAAGCCCTAATTTAGAGGAAGCGGAGCCGAGTTGAGATATTCTTTAAGATTCCTATAATCAAATGGAGAATTCGCCCCATTATGTTCCCCCAACTAAGCCTATGCGCCGTCCTTCAAGGGGCAATTAGATTGCAATTAAGACCTGTTTAAGGTCGGGTTAACAGTTGGTTAAATGGCTCAGTCTGGAAAGGGAATACCAGCCTTTCCGATGGGAGTTCCGCAGCGGTTTACTCTCTGTAGCCAGGAAGCCGTCGTCATTGTGGCGATTAAGGTCTCTGTAGTAGTGTCAGCTTACTGGATTAACGTGTCGAGCCTTGCCGTTAAAGGGAAAAGAAACAGAGGCCACCCCAAGAAATAAACTGCTCCTTAATGCTTCCTTAAATCTTGGTTAACCGGTAGAGAATGTGCTCTTCAAAGGGAACATGTACATTGGATCAGCAAATTGCACGAGTAAACCCGACGATCATTACTGAAGCGAAAGACTGATTCCCTGGATATGATTTTGCTTAAACGATTGGCAGCAGAACTGATTGGCACTTTCGGAATGGTGTTTGCCGGAACCGGGGCCATCATGATTAATGAGTTGTCCGGTGGGAAAGTAACCCACTTAGGAATGGGCATAACCTTTGGCCTGATTGTGGCCGCCATGATCTTCACCTTTGGGTCAAAATCCGGTGCACACATAAACCCGGCGGTCACCCTGGGCTTTGCTAGCACCCGCCGCATTCGCTGGGGCGTGGCCGCTTATTACATTCCAGCGCAGTTGGCGGGCGGAATACTGGCAAGCCTGGCTCTGTATTACCTGCTGGGGCCGGCCGCCAACATGGGCGCTACCCTGCCCTCGGGGAGCGTGGAGCAATCCCTGGTTCTGGAAGGCATACTTACGTTCATCCTCATGGCGATAATAATGTCCCTCAGCATAGAACCCCGAATCGCCGGGCCGGTGGCGGCGTTGGCCATTGGCGGAACGGTGGGATTGGAAGCAATCTTTGCCGGCCCGATTTCTGGCGCTTCCATGAACCCGGCCCGCTCTCCCTTGGCGCCGGCGCTGGTGGGTTGGGAGTGGTACGGCCACTGGGCTTACTGGGTGGGCCCCATAGCCGGCGCGGCCCTGGGCGCGGTAGTGGTCTGCTGGCTGAAGGGAGTCAGGATCTTCGGTAGTGAAGAGGCGAAAGAAGCAGAGAATGCCACTGACGAAGACCAGGAGTTGGCTTTAAAGGGGCGCGAACAACGATCGTCTCGACCAGCGGAGGAGGCCGACTAGCAGCGTTACCGGGAAATTCAAGGCGGATTCAACTCAATGAAGTAATCAGGACTGTCCGAATTATCCTTCATGTGGTAACCCTGAAACATTACTGCGTAGAACCGGCGGTCCTTCAGCAAGGGTCGTTTTCCTCCCCGGGCGTTCCAAAGTCCCCGTTGTCCATGGCCGAAGAAGCACGGCACCAGTTGTCTGGATTGTCGTTGGCGTCAGCGTTCAGTGCAGTGGGCTCTAGGGAAGTGGAGGCGCCGGGGAATACCAGGTCGGCGTTGTAGGCAACTCGATCAACCAATTGCCCCGAAGAATCTACCAACTCTATGGAGTCCTCGTCATTGGTCAGGTTGATTCCCTGGTATTCGTAGACCGCGGTAATGCCGCCGTTGGCAGACTCGTCCCCGTTGCGAGCTAGGACCACGTAGCCTTCCGGCAGGACCACAACCCTTGAGAGAATCCGGTGCTCGTCCCCGTTGGCCCGTCGAATTGTCCAGTTCTCCAGGTTGACCGCCAATTCTGCGTCGGCGTTATAAACCTCGAACCATTCCCCTGCCGTGTCTCTGACCGCCGCGGGATCGGCCATTATTTCGGTAATCAGCAGCGGCCCGGTTGGGGCAGTTGGAGACGGAACTCCGGTGGGAGCAGGAACTGGTTGCTCCGTGGGCAACAGGGCAATGGTTCCGGCGCCGTCCATCAACTTTACCGCGCCCGAGCACTGACCCAGCATACCTTGCAGAGCCTCCCATTCGTTGACAGTGGCCGTCAAGCCCCACGCATCCTTAACTGCGATCCAGTCCTGTGCGTATTGACAGCGGTAGGTTTCGTCCGGGGGCTGCCATTCCTCCGGCCCCTTGGCCCCTTTGGCCCGGTTGGAGGACTTGTCCACGGCTATAAGGTGAAAGTCAGTGGCTATGCTGTTGGCGTAGTCTTCCTTGCGAGCCTCGTCCCACTGCCAGGCCCCGGAGACGTGGGCATTCTTCAGGGGCACCAGATGATCGATGTCCACGTCGCTCGCTTCCGTGAAGGTCTGTCCGGTGTACGGGCCGTCCCAACTCCCTCCAATAACCCGGCAATTGCGGTCTGTGTTGAATGCTGGGACTGTGGTGGACTCTTGGATCAATACCTCGGCCCTGGTATCCTGGCAGTCTCTGTCCACGTCCACCCAGTGCTTCCAGTCGTCTCGCGAGTAACCCGGTATATCCACAGGAATTTCGGCAATGACCAGTCTGGGAACCTGGATGACGTCACCGCCTGAGGTAGTTGTGGGGATCGGGCGGCTAGTGGACGTGCCAGTTGGCGAAGGTGAGGCAGGCGGAGCGGTAGACATAACGGGAGAAGGTATTGGCTTGGCGGTAGGGCCATTCCCCAAATCAATGCGGGGAATGGCCGGTATGTCTGGGGCATCCGGAACAGCAGGCGCGACGTCGCAGGCCACGCTGCCCAACACCAGCAGGGCAGCGACTAGAAAGAGGGGAGCGCCAGTCGGAACGGGCCGTCGCAAATAAGTTGAGAGCCTGCCAACAACCGCACCAGCCCATTTCATTTCCCCACCTCACGCCGACAAGCCTGACCCTGTTTATTCCTGGGTACATTGTACTTGCTGCTGGCCGGTCGGGAAATGCTGTGCCGGCCGATGTAATATCCCGGCAGCCCTCACTCCGTACATAGATGTGGATTATCAAAGAGATAGAGTAGCTTGGCTTTCAAAGCCTTCGTTTTTACTTAGTATGCCATGCTGCTTGGCAAGGTTCATAAGCAGGAACTGCGGTATGAGGAGTATCTGGAGGCCGTTTGCCCTGGTGGTCTCTTGATCACGGGAATGAGTGGGTGGAACTGTTCAGTGAGCGCGGGGCACGGTGAATGTGAAGGCACAACCTTCGCCTTCCTGGCTTGCCACGGTTATCTGGCCGCCGTGAGCCTCGACCAGTTGCTTTACGATCGACAGGCCCAGGCCGGTTCCGCTGTCGCGACGGGAACGGTTGACCTTGTAGAACCGCTCGAAAAGGTGGGGCACATGTTGGGGAGCCACCCCGATGCCTGTATCCTGAAGCTGGACCTGCACATATTCTTCGAAGGGGTCTGCCTGAATACTTATCTCCCCGTCGGCAGGGGTGAACTTGAGCGCATTTTCAACCAGGTTCACGAATACCTGGGTCAGCTTTTCCCCGTCGGCCATGACCAGGGGCAGGTCGTCGTGCAGTTTGGAGACTATTTCAACGCCATGGGTAGTCGCCGTATCGCCGAATTGCCTTTTGACGCTCTGCACCACTGGGGCCAGGGAAATGGGCTCCACGTCGATGCGGAACTGCCCGCTCTCCATGCGAGACAACTCCAGCAGGTCGTTGACCAGCCCGTTTATACGGTCAACGTCGCCTCTCATACGGGACAGAAAGTCCATCGCCACCTGTGGTTCATTTACCGCCCCGGATTCCAGGGTTTCAACCATGGCTTTAATGGAGGCCATGGGGTTGCGCAGTTCGTGGGAGACATTGCTGACAAATTCCTTTTGGCTGGTTTCCACCTGCTGCATGCGGGTAAGGTCGTGAAGGGTAAGAAGGACACCTTCGTCGTTGTCCAGGGGAGTTGCGATGGCGCTAAGGAACCTGCGAGGCAAGATCAATGAGATTTCGGCCTGTTGGCGGGACTTCCCGTCCTTGCAAGCAGTGATAAGCCGGTGAATCTCGTTGTCTCGTACCAATTCCACGAGGCGGAGTCCTTGTACGGTTTCGGGGCGAATTCCCAGCAGATCACGGGAGGCCGGATTGAGCAGGGCCACCCTACCGGTCCGCTCTATGACAATTACGCCGTCAGCCATGGTGTCAAGAACTGCCGAAAGGGTGTCCCGTTCTGCGGAGAGGCGTCCAATTACGCCCTTGATGGTGTCAGCCATGGCATTGAAGGACTCGGTCAACCGGCGAGTTTCCTCGTTGGCGCCGACCGGCACAGGGTGGTCATAGTCCCCTTGTCCCAGTTGCGTGGAGGCGTGGGCAACGGCCTGTACCGAACGGAGAGAGCGGGAGGAGTAGCGCGCCACCAACGATGAAACGGCAATCGCCAACGCTCCCGCCACCAGGCACCAGGCTCCCAGGGCAACAAAGATAGAGGTAAGGTTGCCGGTGCTTTCGGGGGAAGGGGTTGCCCTAGCCACGAACCCTACTACTTCATCACCGGCGAAAACGGGAGCGGAGATAGAAAGGAATTCGAAACCGTCCGACATGCTAACGCGCCTGTAAGAGTCGTCCTGCCGAATTTGCCCTAATTCAAGACTGCTGGCTCTATTTTCAACGGCGTCAAGGTCGCCCTGACTGGCCGCCAGCGGCACCCCTGTTGCGGAAAAAATGGTGACCGGTGAATTGACCGTGCGGGCGAGGTCGACAGTGAGCGATTGAAGGGCAGAACGATTAGAGGGAGAATCGGGTTCTGACAGGTAGGGAACTGCTGCCGCGGCAACCAGCCGAATCTCCCGTTCCTGTCGCTCTTCCAGGAGTGCAGTGGCTTGATTGCGGAGGGTTCCGGTCAAAAATATTACCAGGACGGCCAGGGAAAACAGGATTAAGGCCGCGTAAATGAGGGAAATACGCCAGATTAACGAACGGTGGAATTTCATCCGTCCAGCCGGTAGCCTACTCCTCTGATAGTAACTATACTGCTGGCCGTAGTTGGGTCTGCCTGGAGTTTTTCACGGAGCCAGCTAATATAAACGTCCACAGTGCGGGTCTGGCCGATGTAGTCGTAGCCCCAGACGCGTTCAAGTATCTGATCACGGGTGAAAGCCCGACCCTTGTTGGCCACCAGCAAAGCCAGCAGGTCGAATTCCTTGGGCTTCAGACTGAGTGGTTCCCCGGCCAGGCGGGCTTCGTGGCTGTTCAGGTCTATTTCCAGGCTGCCGGTCCAGAAGTGCTGTTCCTCGTTTTCGCCGGTATGGCTTTCTTCCAGGTACCTGGTTCGTCGAAGGGTATTACGAACTCGAGCTATCAGTTCCCGGATACTGAAGGGCTTTGTAATGTAATCGTCGGCTCCCAATTCCAAGCCAACCACACGGTCGACCTCTTCCCCCTTGGCTGTCAGCAACAGGATTGGGACCTCCGACTCCCGGCGCAGAATCCGGCAAATCTCGAATCCGTCCAGGGTGGGGAGCATAATATCCAACAGTATCAGTGAGGGATTGATCTTGCGGGCGAGTTCAAGACCTTCGCCGCCATCGGTGGCAGTGTGGACCTGGTAGCCTTCCCGTTCCAGGTTGTACCTCAGGGCTTCGAGGAGGTTTTCCTCGTCTTCTACGACGAGCACCGAGCGTTCCGGCACATGTACCTCAACAAGTGAGCCTTGGTTCCTGTTTTCGCTTCCAATGACCAGTAACCGTTTGTGAGAAGAGGGAGTCGTAGCTCCGCGTCCCAATTATAGGCAAAATGTCAGGGCATTTACAGTACGTTACCTAGTCGGCAACCAAGGCCAGTTCGATGCTATCAACAATGGGAAGGTAATCACGGAGTTCGTCCAAGGGAAAGCGGGTTACCTCCCGCAGGCCCGCCCAGGATATGATGAGGGTTTCGTCGTATTCGATGGAGACAGACCAGGGATTGTGGTGTGCTTCGGGGTCAGTGTAGGTGCCCAGCTTTTTACCCGTCAGGGGGTGACGGTTCTCTGGAGCGTTCTCTCTTAACCAGCTATGTGTGAAAGTGCCGTTTTCGCCGTCTTCCCACACGATCACTAGCGAGTCATCTTCTCTAATTACCTTCTTGACCGATAAGTCGCTCTCGATTGTCAATACAGTCCTCTCTAAATATGAATGCCCATTTCTCAATGATACGAGGATAGGCTGCAGGTATTAACCTGAAATTACGAAACGGTTAAATGTATAGTCCTTCAATGTTAACACTTTATTAACCGCAAATGGGGCTTCCGATGTAGTTTGCTGGCAAATTGCCAATTTGGCTGCATGTCGCCAAAAGGGCCTGGGAGAACTCTAAGGTGGTAATAAGCAGGGCTATCGCGTTTCAAGGTCCGGACTCAGCGGGGGGTGGGCGACACCAGGGTTGAGAAGAATTGTTTTTCCGCTCATTTCCGCCCACTGATTGTCTGCCAACAGGTAGCCGGAACAGAGTTGGGATAGAAAAACAGTTTTCCGCTCATTTCCGCTCATTTCCGCCCATTGACCTTCTGGCGGCAGATTGCCGGAATAAGGTTTGAGGTAAATAGTTTCCCCCCCATTTTCTCTCACTGGCATCCGCAATCAGGTAGCCGAGATTGGGTGGGGACAAGAGGGACATTGCAAATACCATGGTAGGAGGTGGTAACAGGGACTGTCCAGTGTCCGTTGTCATTGGGCTCGGCGCAGGTTGGGCTGCAAAAGAACATTGAGAACGGCTTACACACGAATATTCAGGAATGTACCCAATATTTACCATATATAACCCAAATGGAATGGCCTCGGAGTCGCTTTAGCGACAACAGGTTCCTGGGTGAGTTGCCGGTCGATTGTTGGTTATTGATGCCTTCCTGCAGGGCAATCGTCTTAAACCGATCAACCGCTCACCCTTACGTGAGTATTGCCTTAGGTCCAAGCAATGTAACCCCAATCAGGTCTCACCGAGTACGCCGAAGGGTCTGGAATCCTTCCTGTTAAAGGAACCTCTGAATAGGTCATCTACACTGTAGCCAGTGCCGGAACTTCTGGAGGAAGCTTAGGGTCGTCAGTCATTAATTGAGCGCAGGCACCTCCATACTGACCTTCATTCTTCCAAGGGGAAGGGATTTGTTCAATAGTTCTTGAAAACAGCACTGATTCCTTTACGTGAATGCAGTCCTGGATCTCAGTTGCTTCGATCATGCTCAGCATGACATTTACTTAAGCCGCGATTGACCTGGGGCAAGAGGAAAATCACCTTGATTGGGAGGGCGGCGCTTGTTATAATCGTTGAGCTTACTTCAACGGTAGGCGTTTCCCCCTCCGTGGGCCTGTAGCTCAGGTGGTTAGAGCGCGGTCCTGATAAGACCGAGGTCGTTGGTTCGAGTCCATCCAGGCCCACCAAAACCGGTTTTCAGATACAAAATTGACGGCTTAAGCTCCCGGGTGCAACCGATGTATGCCCGTCAAGAAGTTTTCTGACCTCTATCTTCGCGATGTCGGCAAGGCCTTTATAAAGAGCCTGATGGCCTCTGGATCTCCACACTCCTATTGGGAAGCCCTCGAAAGGTCGGTGGCCCTTGTGGCCGATTACTCCGAAGGAGAGGGCTGGCCGCCGGTGGGAGACATTACCATCGATCACATCGAGGACTATTTCGCCCACCTGCAGAGCCGTGAGCCCTGGTTCGGAGAACGCGGCGGCGGCGCAGGCAATTCCGCTCTCTCCACCGGGTACATCAATGCCCAGTATCGTCGCTTGAACCGGTTCTTTGGCTGGCTGCTGGAACGGGGATATGTCGAGGAGAACGTGATGAAGCTGATGAAACCTCCTCCCGTGGACGAGAATACGGTTCCCCTGGTTTCGGACAGCCAAATCCAGGATCTCCTTGCCCTGCTCAATCCTAAATTGGCGAGGACACCGAGAGAGCGGTTTCTGATGATACGTAACCGGGCCATACTTCATCTGTTTGTCGACACGCCGGGGCGGCTCGACGAAATAGCAGAAATGAAACTGGACGACGCCCGGCCGGACGACAACAGAGTTCGTGTGATGGGAAAAGGAGGCAAGGAGCGCTATATGCCCATCGGCAATACCCCGCAGGCAGTGCTCCGAGACTATCTGCGGGCTAGGGAAACTAAGGAGCCACTTACTGAAAAGCTCTGGGTTTCTGCAACTGGCGAGGCAATGAGCTTTAACTGGCTATACCTGATGATCAAGAGACTGGGCGAACGGGCAAAGGTGAGGGGCTTGCATCCGCACATGTTCCGCCACACCTTTGCAGTAAACGCCCTGCGCAGCAGCATGCCGGAGCGGATCCTGATGAATATCGGGGGATGGAAAAAAATTCCGGATACTTACTTCCGGGTATTGGGCTTTGAAGACGCACAAACATTTCATGCGAAAATGAGCCCTGGCGACCGGTTGGGGGGAGGCTCCACCGAGAAGGATGAACCGAAAAGCGGGGAAGGGGGACCGCGACCCAGAGGCCGATTATAGGCTCTGGCGCCGGCTCCGATGGGCTAAACCCAGGTTTCCAGAGCCAGCCGGGCATCGTGCCAGTTGACACAGTATGCGTCCGCATTGTTCTTGACTTGCCTGGCGGTTGCCGAGGTGGCTGATGCGCCGGTGGAGAATTGCCTGGTCGTCACTGAAAGCGGGGCAGGGGTCCTGGGAGTTCTTACAGATCTGACATAGCACTGTGAGTCCCATGGTTTCATGAGATGTTCGGCCCGAACCCCAGCCGAGCTCATTTCTGCACACAGAAGTTCTGCGTCCGCCCGCCCCACCTGATACCCGGCGAAAGTTCTTACCGCCGATAGTATCCTTTGCCGCAAGGCTGGGTCGGCATTGGGATGGTCGGCTAAAGTCTCCTCTGACAATAGGAAGCGGGACCGGGAGTGGTTGGAGATTTCCAGCAGATTTGCCCAGTCCGGGCCCCTGAAGCTTAAGAAGGAATCGCAGCCCACCAGAACCCTGGGCCCAACGGGAGCAGCGAGCTCCGCTGATTGTGCCAAAGCCTCTTCCATACGGGCAATCATCATACTGCCAATGAGGTTTGAACAATGGGCGCCCAGGGTGTCCCGGGCGGTGGTTACCAGAATTACTAAACCCTCGGCGACGAAGTTGGACAAATCAACTCTCGATTCCCGCTGGGCCAGTGCGCTGACGGCCCTTGGCACTGATTCAAGCTCAGCCAGCCATGCACGCGCCTGCTGCAGGTGGGGCAATTCACAGGAATCATCGTTCGCGATTGACGGCAGTCGCTCCGCCACCCAGGGAACGCCTACCCTTGGCAGAAGTGACCGCAAGGACTGAAGCGCTTTGGGGGCTGAGTCGTGCTCGCTAACGGTCCTGGATGCAACCGCAACCTTCAGCACATCCCACAGGCCTTTCATTTCTGGCAGTGTTGTATCCGGGTGACCATTAAACTGGCAGTTCGCCATGTGCCATAGTTTGACATACTCTTCGGTGATCTGGTCCGGAGGACCCCAAAACGGGCGAATGGCTCTTGCCAAGGTTTCAGAGATCGCCGAATTGGAGGATTCAGACGCCGGTCCCGAAAAATTGATGCAAGGCAGCTCATCGGGGTTTGAGTAGTCCAACAGGATCACGCTGCTGGCCAATTCCCCGGGGATGCTATTCAGCAAGGGTTGTACCATGCTCCCATCCTGGTCAATTACCAGCACAGCGCCGGATTCCAGGCCCAGAGCTTTCCTTTTCAGAAAGTCTGTGATGAGCGCATTCGGAAATCCACATCTGCCGATTCCTGGCACTCCAAGAGTAAGGCTATCGTGGTCAAAGACTGCATCCGGCAGATATTCGTCTGTGCCCCACAACGAGTTGGAACCGACCAGGACCCCACGACCATCGTCGCCCTGCGGGGGATCAATCAAGACGCGACCTGCCTGGTTCAACGGATCGGAACTTTTTGATGAGTCAAACAACGCTTCCTTCCTGTTTCCTTGCTGGACTATTGGGCTTACTGCTCTAATCTGTTGTGTTCAGGCAATTATACCAAGAAGAGAGTCCAGCCCGATTTTACCGGAGAAAGAAACGCTTCTCCGCTCACCGAGTCAATGGTCCGAAACGGAAAGCCCGCGACATTGCGGAACTCCACGTTCAGGATTGTGGCTGTACTCAGTTCCTCGCTGAGAGCGTCAATTTCAAGCGCGAGGCAGATAATTGGATCACCGGGGCCGTCAATATTGCCATTCATGGTCGGCTGGGGGAGGACTGGCCACGAAATTGATGGGATAGATTGTCCAGAGGGCAGACTCGCGCGGGCTGCTGAAGGGCGATACTTCATGACTCATCTCGAATCCGGAGTACAGATGGAGAAGGTTGGCGGGTAAGCGAGCCAGAGGGCACTTGGAGCTGACCTGATACGAGAAAGCGGCGGACGGTACGGCTTACCGGTTTTATGGCACCAATTTCGTAACAGGTCCTGGAGCGGAGGTCGGCGCGCCGGTCGAGGAGGGACAGCGGAAAGGATTGAGCAGGCTGACCGTGATCAGCAGATTGAGCCGGTTTTCCCAGAACCGGAGATGGAGACCTTCCATAGCCAGGTCGGTCTTGCAGCCTCGGTAGCACAACTCCACCTTTCAGCGGCGGGCATTGGCAAAGACCACTTTCCAGGCATCTGATCAACGACAATTAGTTTTGCCGGCCTGTTGCCTCCGCATTGCCTCAATAAAAAGGTTACTTTATAAAAGTGATTGCCTCAAATAAAATGCTACCGAAAAGTCGGGAGGCGATCACGTGGCGGGAGGCATGAGCAGGATGGCGAAACAGGAGTTGCTGGCATCAATACAAGACCGCTACCAGGGGTCTTCCAAGAAGGACAAGGGCCGGATCCTCGACGAGTTCATCGCTGTGACCGGCCATCACCGGAAGCACGGCATTCGCCTGTTGGGACGACTGGGCGAAGCCGCGGACCAAGTGACTGGAGTCAAAGGACGGCGGATCTACGACGAGGCAGTTCGGGAGGCGGTGATCCTGGTGTGGGAAGCATCGGACCGGATCTGCGGGAAGCGTCTGAAAGCGGCGCTACCTCACCTGGTGGAGTCCATGGAACGCCACTGACATCTGGACCTGGACCCCGAAGTCCGAGAGCGGCTGCTGTCCGCCAGCGCAGCCACGCTGGACCGGTTGCTGAAACCGGTCCGCGTCACGGTGGCCAGCCGACGCAAACGCCGCCGTAATCTGAGCCCGGGGCGGAACATACCCGTCCGGACCTTCGCCGATTGGAACCGCCCTCCGCCGGGCTTCCTGGAAACCGACCTGGTTGCTCACTGCGGGGACAACATGGGAGGGTCCTTCATCTACAGCCTGGTGGCCACTGATATCTGCACTGGATGGACCGAGGCGGTACCTCTATTGGCTCGGGAGCAGTCCCTGGTGGTGACAGGATTAGAGGCCATCGCCAAACAGCTGCCCTTTACCGTTCTCGGCATTGATTCCGACAACGACAGCGTGTTCATCAACGATACCCTTACCCAGTACTGCGCTGATCGGAGCATCGAGTTCACCCGTTCCCGGGCGTATCGCAAGAACGACCAGGCCTGGGTCGAGCAGAAGAATGGGGCAGTGGTCCGGCGCTTTCTGGGGCATGAGCGGTATTCGGGGCAGGTGGCGGGACAGACCATAGCCCACCTGCACGGGGCAATGCGGCTTTACGTGAATTACTTCCAGCCCTCGTTCAAGCTGATGGAGAAAACACGCAACGGCTCAGCTGTGACCAAGCGCTACAGTCCGCCGGCCACGCCCTGCGAACGGGTAATCCAGCATGAGACGGTTGGAGCTGAGACCAGGGCCAGCCTGAATGAGCGCCGAGCCCGGTTGGATCCCGTAGCCCTGCTGCACTCCATCCGGGAAACCCAGTCAGCGCTGGCGGCCATCGTGTCTCCGGAGGTCAGGCCCACGCCGAGAGGCGAGAGCCTGGAACGGTTCCTGGCCAGGCTGCCCGACCGGTGGCGGCAGGATGAAGAGGCGGCGTTGCGACCGGCGAAGGTGAGAGCCCCGCACCATTGGCGAACAAGGCCAGACCCCTTTGAAGGTGTGTGGTGTGACGTGCTGGGCTGGTTGCAGGAAGACCCGGACGCCAGCGCGGTGGCATTGCTGGGCCGGTTGCAGTCAACTTATCCGGACCGGTTCGAAAGGGCTCACCTGCGCACTCTGCAGCGGCGGGTGCAACAATGGAGGGGTATCATGGCGAGTAAACTGGTCTACCCCGTTTCCAGTGAAACTACGTGGGACGAACATTCGTTGCCGGAATTAGCGCTGGTTGAAAGTGGTCCCAAGCGCTGAGATTCGGTAACATTCTTCAGTGAGGCAACAGGATTCGGCAAGAATAGTTGACGCGGGACAACTGACACGCTGCCCCGCAGCTGCGGCCCCAGGGACGCGGTATCCTACGCCTAGGGTTACCTGGACCAGAGAAAAGCGCTGCAGCAGAGCCGGCCGGAGGCTCCACCGGCCGAAGAGGCCGAAGAATACTGCTGGCAATACCACCTCGGCCGCACCCTCACCTGGAACGGCGCCGATAACGACCCGAACCTGCATGAAGCATTCCAACTGGGATTGAAGGACAAGCAGACGCTATGCGATCAGGGGAAGAGGCGTTAAGATAATACAGAGAAAGAATTGAGCACGAAATGACCACACCGATCAATACGTTCCAGGACATCATAGACGCCCTGGAACGGGACCCAGCCCTTAAACTCCAGATAAGGCAGCACATCCTCGCAGAAGAACTGCTGCAGCTACCGGCCGTTATCGGCCAGCCCGAAGAAGGCGACCCGCCGCTGATCCATCAGCTGAAGCAGCTCGACGGCAAGGCAGGAGAACTAGACGGGAAGGTGGAAAGAATTGACAGCCGCCTGGGCAACGTCGCCGGCGCCCAGTACGAGGAAAGAGCAGCCCACCGGGCAGCGGGCAGGGTCCGGACCCTGGGAATAGAAAGGGCCCGGATCGTGCTCTCCCCGGGGGAGTCGCAGCCATCCTTCCACGACGCCATGGCCGAAGCCGTGGAACATGGGCTGATCAGCCAGGAGGAGCTGGACGACCTGACGGCAACCGACATCATCCTCCGAGGAGGAAACCGCAGGCACGTCGTAATCGAAGCCTCCCTGGGCCCCGGCCAGGACGACCTGGAACGCGCACAGCGCCGGGCCAGGGTTCTCGCCCGGGCCACCGGCGAAGCCACCACGCCGGCAGTGGCAGCTCCAGAGCTCCCGGCCGGACTGCGGCAGCAGGCGGAGAGCCTGGGAGTGGCAGTACTGGAAATTCCAGCCTGACCGGCCGGTAGCGTCAAAACACAGCGCTCTCACCAGAGACAGAGCAACAACAGGTTTCGGCACTGTAAAGCCCCGCCATCCCCAAAAAAAGCGGCAGTCTTGCAAAACCGGCGCCCTCAGAGCCGATTTAAGGTGGTTCCCCAAAGAGGGCCAATCAGCGCAGTCCCGCCACAATGAACAAACCGTATGCGCCACCAGGGCTACCTGGACAAGCGCATTGAGCTCGACTCAAAGCGGCCAGCATTGCCACAGGACGAAGGCCTCCGGCAGTTCTGCTGTGACTACCACCAGGGCCGACACCTCACCTTCAACATCGCCGGCGACTCCCCCAACTTGCCCCCAGGAACCCAGCTCGGCAATGCCGACCGCAGGGCGCTAACGCGCAGGGAAACAAACCATAAGCGACGCCGCCTGACATCCGGTTGAGCCAAGACGTATAATCGACAACAGAAGGAGAGGTCCTCAGCCATGACAACCATCAATGACATACATGACCTGGTGGAGCTGCTCCAGAACAATCCGGATTGGGCAGAAACCCTCAGGAACATCATCCTGACCAGGGAATTGCTAGATCTTCCCGAGACCTTTGCCCGAGCCCTGCAGGACTGGGCAGAGACCAACCAGGCGCTGACCCGCCTGGAGACAAGCAACGCGGCATCGCTGGCCAGCCAGAGGCTGCTGCACGGCCGCCTCGGGCAATTGGCCGGCGGAGACTATGAGCAACAGGTAGACCGGCTCGCCTCCAGGCTGGTGGCCAGAGAAATGGACGTCTTGAACGCAGTAACCCTGCAGAGAAGCTGGGGGCCGCCGGATCCGGATTACGCCAGGTCCCTGGCGAACATCTGCCGTCGGGCAGTGGAAACGGGGGCCATTTCTCCGGAAGAGGACGACGAACTCTTCAGGACCGACCTGGTACTCCAGGGCGTTAAAGAGGGAACGACGGTCTACGTGGTGACGGAGGCCTCCGTGGTAGCCGCAGCCCACGACTTTGAGCGAAGCGACCAAAGAGCTGAGGTCCTGGCAAAAGCCCTGGGATCACCGAACGGGGCCACCGTGGTAAGCGCCGTAATCGGCGACAGCCTGCACCCGGACCTGGATCCAGAGAAATACCACGCCAGGTATATCAACCTCCCCTTCCGAAGGGAGGAATACCAGGCAGCCCTGGAATCGGTGGACGCCGCCATTACCGCGGCAACCGGTACCGGCTTAAGTCAATAACCAGCCGCAGGCAATTACCGGGCAAAAGCGCTGGACTCCGACTCCACCGCCAGGACACAGAAAGCAACCTGCACAGGATCAGCTAAACTCGCAGGAAAGCAGCAACTTCCACCCAGGCAGAATTGCGCCGGTTGCAGAGAATCATCGAACAGAAGGGAACACAACTACTGGAGCCCTGGCAGAACAGTCAACATCCACGAGATAGGTCCGAAGACGGAGCAAAAAGAGCCCCTGGCCGACACACCTCAGAGCCAGCCAGGGGCACAGCGCAGCCAACGACTACGTTCAACCCCCTCAACGGACCATGCGGACCTTCCGCTTAATTTTCCCGCTCTCCACCGGGTCCTTCCTGGGCATATAGTCCCGGGGGTCGTCGCTCAACGGCCAGCCCAGGAGTCTGGCCAGCATATAACCCGAGTAGCGCCGGTCGCCACTCTCCAACACCGGTTTGATCAGGCCCTCACGGACCCTTTCATTAAAAGTAGCCTCGGTTACACCGAGTATTATTGCCGCATCCTTGGCACAATAAGCACGACCTATGTCCAACGAGGGCAGAGAAACCGACTGGGGTGTTAAAATTGATTCGCCTGCCATAGGAACCTCCTATTCCTGTGGTCGGTAGCACCTCGGAGTGGGCGCTCCAGTATGCAACAAAGGGGGCCCGGAGGCCCCCGTTATACCAGGTGGCATATTTCCATTTTAGATAGCGGTAAGGTACAACCCGTCAATGCCCAATTGTCATTAAAAGGATGCTTCAGCCTTATAGCCTGAGGAACGGATAAAACGTGGCCCGGTCAACTAAAAAATTGCCAACATTTTTGCCAACATCAGGGGGCGAAACCACCAACATCGGGGGACGTCACGCCATGTCGACTGCCTCAATTTGTATCTGAGGCGATGCCCAGAGACCCCCCGCGCCAAGGGTTAACCCCCGTACGCGGGGATAGACCACTCTCCAACTGACCAGACTATTGCGAAGCCCAGCCAAAGGCGTTGATACTGGATAGTCTTGGATAGATTTGAGTCACCAACAGGAGGGACTGTGAGCAGACATTACAGAAACCAACTCTCGGACGGTTTATTGGAAGATTTTATCGAAGACTTTCAGTTCCTATCGCAGCAGAGCGGTGCAGGAGAATTTACCTATAAATCCTTGATAGAAGACGAGATAGATGCGATATGCGACGTGCTGGACACCTTCGGAGAACTTTACCAACGAAAATACAACTCTGAGGATATTCAACCCGCAGGCGTCTGGTATGAAGCAGACCGGGAAAAGCGCCTCCGTCATCTTGTTATCCTCGTGGAGAGCTTGCACGTCTTCGGCGGTACGGGCAGTACCTACCTGCCGACTTACACTCAGCCGGGAAAGGGCTATTACCAAGAAATGGTCATGCAGATTAAAGAAGCCATCAAGTCGTTGCCGGAAGCGATGTTGGCCAATGAGGCTAACCACGACATTGATGATTTCCTGTGCAAAGCTCGCCAAAACGCTCACTTTCTTGCAGCCACGTTGCCTCTGAATGGGTCTCCAACACCATTGAACACATAGCACCGCAGGGTCATGCCGCCCCGGTCTGGGGCACTCGTCAGTTTCGCAATCTTGTCAACTGCCACGTCACCATTGACATCCGAGGCAATCGGCGTCAACAATGACCTCAGTGGGCAGAGCAACAGCCCACAGAATAGAATTCTAAGGGTTGCCCGACCGGAATAGTTGACAGCTACGCCGACCGTAGGCGCTAATGGTGAGTTAACTACCATGGGGCGTGAGCAAAATAGACTCCGTCAAAGCACTCGCTCGTCTGCCAAGTCGGCAGCCCTAGGACCGCACAACCCACGTCCATTTAGGAACGTGGGTTTTCCTTTCCCAGAGTCAGAAAAATAGATAATGACGAACACCTTTAGGCTCAGCAAAGGAGCATCACAGAAAATGGGATTTCTAAGAGACCTCGAGGCCGCCGCCTCCATCGGCATCAGTGCGACCACCAAGCAGAAGGACGCGGAAGTCAGTTTCCAGAAGGCTAAAGAGAAATACGAAAACCGAGTTGAGAAATTCGACCAAGCTGCTGTCAGCGCCTGTTCCCGCTTCGAAGAGCTGGAGTTGGCATGGAACGAGGCCAAAACGGCCGTAATTGAGTCCGGCGCATTGACCATTGACCCCCAGGGAAATCTCTCCTGGGGCTGGTTCAAGCCTACCGACCTGCCAAAGGACCCAGCGGCGGCCGCAGATGCATCAAAAAACCGTCTCCGGCTGTCTTCCCGGCCTGGCGGCCTTCATAGGAGCGCCGGCAACAACGTGGACCCTGGTTGGTCTCTTCGGCACAGCCGGAACCGGAATTGCGATCTCATCCCTATCCGGCGCCGCCTTCACGGCCGCCACCGCAGCCTGGCTCGGCCGCCTGGGCATTTCCGGAATAACCGGGCCTTGGCATGAGGGCCGCCCCTGCGGTGCTAGTGGGATTGGCCTCGCCATCAGCCTACCAATCCAAGTCGCCATTGGCGCCAAAGTGGCCGGCGACCGTGAACGAAAGACTATCGGCCAGATAGAGGACACCTGTAGGGTGATCAACGTCCGACACACGATAATAGACAAGATGCAGCCCAGGCTCGAGGACCTGGGAAGCCAAGCCAGAGAGCAAAACATGCAACTGTTGAGGGGCACTGCTCAGATCCAGGCGGTGCTGACCCTCCACGATAAAGACGCTACGGAAACAAAAGACGCGGTAACCACCCTGCTAGAAATGCAAATTAACGCGCGCGAGCTATGCTCCAGCATGAAGGAAGCCATGGACGACACCGAAAGCTGCTTCCGGCAATATCCTTTCCCGACATTCAGTTAAGGATGAAAACGAAGGGCCGCCGGCAGTATCCGCGGCCCTTCTCACCCCGGCCAACCACATAGTAACCACGCATGACTGACCGGAGGCCAGCACCCCGTCTCCTGACGTGTCAAAAGGGCCTTGAAAGTCCCCCAGCAACATGTCCTACAATTCCCGTTATAAGGCATTCCTTCTCTTGGATTCACTCTTTGGCCACCCAGAGCCACCCTATCACCCCCATCCTGACTCTCCCCTGAAAGGTAGGGATCTCATCAGACAGATTCTTACTTAGTTAGTTCTTCCCGCAGACGGCGAATTACGGTCTCGACTTCTTCCTCTGTGAGGTTAAGTGGGTCCACGGCAAGCTCTTGGGGACCGCCCAACGTCTGCAGGTAGATCTGAGGGTTTCCCAGTTCCAAGGCGGTTGCCACGGCATCCCGCGAGGGGCCACGCCAATCGTCGGTGAAGCGAATTACAGCTTGTGGTAAGAGGTAGTTTATACCGTCGTGCTCGATGGTAATCCGCAGTCCAGGCAACTCTACCAGCGCATCGACAACCGTCTGGACCATGGCCCGGTATGTATCCATTTCCGCGGCCTGGTCCTCTTCGACGAAGGCTGCCAGGGACGCCACCAGTCCGATGATTTCCTCCTTGGCGACCTTCATGCCACGACCCAGGAACTGGGCGGGGTTGGCCTGGGCGGCGGCCGCCTCGATAAGGTCGGCGCGGCCAACCAGTATGCCGCTGCCCTGGGGGCCGCGAATGCCCTTGCCGCCGCTGTAGACTACCATGTCAGCCCCGACCCTGAGGTAGCGGTACAGGTTGGCACGGGGCGGCAGCATGGAAGCGGCGTCGACGATGACCGGAACGTCGTGGGCGTGGGCAATTTCGCAGACGCTCTCCAGTGGCAAGACCCTGTTGCTCGAGAAGGGAGCACAGAGATAGGCGACGGCGGCGGTGCGCTCGTTGATTGCTCCCTCCAGTTGCCAGGGGTGAGTGAAGAGATAGTCGCCGAACTCCACCAGGCGCGCGCCCGCAGCCCGGTAGGCCTGATCGTAGGGGAAGCGGTGCATGGTGTGGATGGCTATTTCGTTCTTCAGGCCGTCGGTGCTGGGAAGCTGGCGCATCTTCACCGGGTCGTTGCCCGCTATGACCGCCGCAGCCTGCAAGACCAGCCCGCCGGCAGCGCCGCTGCAGACGAATCCAGCCTCGGCGCCGGTGAGTCGGGCGAGTTCCTTCCCGGCGGCGCGGTTCAGGTCGTCGATGTTGACCATCACCCTGGCCGCCTGGGACATCAGCTCAAGGGTCTCGGGGCGAGTACGGGTGCCGCCCAGCCGGGTTATGGAACCTGCGGCGTTGATGATAGGCTTTACTCCCAGCTGCTCGTAAACTGATCCGGCATCCCGCGCATTGTTGGTATTTGCCACGGCTTCCTCCTGCTTACTTTGTTGCGACCTGGTAGGCCGTGAGTTACGGGCCATTATAGCAACAGCACTGAGGATGGGGACGTGTGGTAACCCTTCGATGAATGGGCTCGCCGGGACTGAATTGAGCCTGTCTTAGAAGTCTGTGAGAAAGCTTGGGTGTAAACTCTGGTACAACTCCGGGACAGGAGCGAATCGGATGCCTCTTTGAGATATTGACCGAGAGCAGATGTGGTTGTTGCCGCCGTCCCTGGATGAGCTGTTGCCGCAGGATCATCCGGCGAGGTTTGTGGCGGAGATCGTCGACGCCTTGAACAAGGAGGACTGGTCGGAGCTTGGCGTGGACATAGATGGCGATTCCATGGGAGCGCCAGCGTATCACCCCGTGCATTGTTGAGCGTATGGCTATACGGGTTCATGACGGGAGTGCGCTCGTGTAGGAAGCTGGAGGTGGCCTGCCGGGACCAGATACCGTACCTGTGGCTGACTGGCTGGGTGGCAGCACCCCGACCACAACACCCTGTGGAGGTTCTACAAAGGGCACCGGCAGTCCATGAGGAAGCTGTTCGAGCGGACGGTGCGGACTGCGGTGGCCATGGAGTTGGTGGACCTGGCGGTCCAGGCGGTGGATGGGACGAAGGTATCCTCCAACGCCTCGGTGAACAGGAGCTACGATGCTGCGGGACTGAGGGGGCTGCTGGAGCGTACTGGAGCGGGCAATAGCCGACCTTGAGGCTCAGAACGAGGCGGGAGA